GCTTCGTCCATATTCATGTTCCTTGCAATTTGGTATCGGAGCTGGTTTGATCGCCACTTACCTCTGGCACGCTGGCGTTATACAGACTTGGTGCGTTGACGATGCTTGTTCGCAGTTGTTACTTGTGACGTCAGGCCATATATAGGCGCACGCCCTGGGTAGAGAGGGGTGCRCCGGAAGGCTAAGACGGCAGTGTATGACGTGGTGACATGCGGAATGTATGATTGGTGATGAGAGCATGCTGATGTGGCATTCGGCTGAGGTGGCACTGCATTAAGTTGTGGGTGGTACCGAGGCCAAGACCGGTCATCAAATGCACACTCAGCTCAATTGGTGAGAAATCTGTGGTTGCGGGCAGCTATCTCCAGGTACGTTGTTCCCTTACCTTATCTACTCTCTCCATCTCTTCTTACCGTGAGGAAGTGAGTCCAACTTTAGAGTCATCTCTTTTGGTGAGGTGTCGTGAGCGCGCTACCTTGAGAGACGACAATCTTCCCGGAAGCATCTGGAAGGAGAAAGGGCGGTGCCTCTGAAGGGCCCTGGTCGAAGCACTGGGTCACGGTCACCATGCCAACCCAATGGGAGTAGGTCACGCATGCGATGGCTGCTGTCCATTTTGGCACTTGCTGCGCTAAATAGAAGTTCCGCCGGGTGTGCCAGCCTTTTAGAGACGCTTACCAGACCGTCTATAAACATTTATGGTTGGGGACTCGGATTGATTCTGGCTGTGATCGTCGTCCTGACTGCGACGTTAAAGAATTCCTTAAGAGATGGGGGCGCTCTATAAATTCCTCCTGATTAGCCAGATCAACCGGGTGTAAGGCTCGTTTCCGTACGAGGGTAAATAAGAGTGGACTGGCTGGCTTGCTCGGCGACAACTTGGGCACAGGGGTGGGCCGAAATACACACGAAGACACTGCCTGCTCAATGATGTTGTTCGGTATGTTGGATTGAGGGGAGGGTAGGTTCTAATTGGTGCTCAACTGAATACACAACCATACCCACTCATCATACATCTGCAACATGGTCTGTTTGTATTTTGATTAGTTGGTGGACGGACTGCTAACACCTCACAGACAGAATTAGATTAGGACTGTTGTATGCTACCATAGCCAGTTCTGTCTAATGCTGCTGTAAGTGAACCAATCAGAGTACATCTAGACTATGTAGACAATCTGTTGTGAATGTTGTAGACATGCCACTTGATCGGTACAATAGGGGACCTGCCGGACACAACTACTTTTAGAAAATTAGATGTCGGTCAGACACATGCTGTGGTAGGACTCCACTAGGGGGTTCTAGTGCACACAATGTTTGCCTAATTCATGAACGGGTCAGACGTCGATGAGGAGAGAGTTGACGATGGTAGACTAACACGTGCAAGGTCAYGTAGGATCCCGCACGTGTTCCAGGCCCTATAACCGGAAGACGAAAGACGCATTCGTGCCGAAAGCAGAGCCCGTGCTCTCGCAGCATCGAGAGAGGCAGCAAACGTTGCAGCTAGGGAACAGGCTGCAGCCTGTGTCTAATTTTGAATTCAACGCGGGTTCCGCGTTGAAAAATTCAACGCACGTTGAATTCCCGTTAAACTCCCGTTCAAACGCGAGTTTGACGAGAATTAACGGGGTCCGAGATGATTTTTTTCCTGGCCTAAAAATTATCCAAAATATATATATATGGGGTTGTGGGTCTCTTCGAGAACTACAACCCCATATTTGTAGTTCTATTTTCTGATGTTTGAGTATATTTTCAAAAAATCAAAAACATAAACACAATGAAAAAAACAAAAACAAAAAATGGAATGAGTGTTTTTTTTTTGGGTTTCATAGAGATTTTTTAAGGGATGAAAAAAAAACAAAAAAACAAATAAAAAATATAGGCTTGTAAATCTTTCAAAGATGCACAACAACATTTTTTTTTTTTGTTTTTTTTTTGACTTTGTGTATTTAAAAAAAATCAAAACCATAAAAAACAAAAAAAAAAGGAAAAAAGACTCGCATATACGCACAGTCTGGCACAGACACAGACAAACAGACAGTCAGACAGACACAACACACACAAACACATAAACACACACACAATGACACACAACACACACAAACACACATAAACACACGACACATACACAGACACACAACACACACACACACTGACACACAGACACACAACACACAACACACAAAGACACATAAACACACACACACAGACACACAACACACACAATCAGGGCACGCTCACACAAGGTACCAAAACCGTAAAACTCCCAAAAAAATGTGCACACGGCTGGTCACACACAATGGTTCCGACCCCTTACACCCCATTCGCAAACCCATTTGTCAGCGGCCTGCCTGGCCGCGGGTTTTAGGAATTTGCGGTAACCTCCAGAGGTTACCGCAAAATCCTTATTCTTTTTTTTTTTTTTTCCGTAAATGAATGCAAAGTTGAAAAGGGAACATGTACGTTCTATATGTGGGGTTACTTTTGTGTGACTGAAAACCCCAAACAGCAGGACCCTGATGGCACAGTAGCGACCGTGTCTTTAGCGAAATGGGAACGCGGTGTGAACGCAGTGTGACCTGAAACGTCTCAAATACCCCGATTCGGCCCAACCCATTTTCGCAATTTATACGGATTTGCTACCGCAGTGTGAGCGTGCCCTGAGTTAGGCCACTGGATGGTCCAAATTCCCGGCCTCTCCTTTGGTGCGCATAATCAAATGAGCTGAGTTTTCTTGTATAAAAAAAGAAAAAAGGAAAAAGCGAAAGGAAGAAAGCAGAGAAAACTACGGCATAGTCAGGTTTTGAGTTTGAAAATGCACTTGTTGAGGCAAACGGCCTGAAAATGTCAAATGTGGCCTGCGGGCCTAGCTCAGTTGGTAAGGCACAGAAGTTGCATTCAGGAGGTCGTGGGTTCAATCCCCGTTCGCCTCAGGTACGTGTCTGGGCAAGCTTGGTGTTCTACCAGCTAGACATAACCCTTTGGACCCCCAAGCCAGCATTGGCAGGACCTTGGCTGATGTTGTTGGCTGCTATGCAGCGACAATATTGGCCATTAGACACGGCCATGTGGGGTTGGGGGGGGGTTAGGGGGAGGTGCAGTGACTGGCCATTGCTCGGCGCTAGCACCGCCTATTTCCCCCATCGGCAATGCCTGCCCACCCCTCTGTCACCGTGATGAGGGACTGGTACAGCCTTGCTCTCGCACCACAGCTGTGGTGCAAACCTACCCCGTGGGCAGGGGAGAGATCCGGGTTGGTTGGTGTTCCCCGGTACTATAAATAGACCAGTGAGAGGATGAGATATATGCGTACTACCAAGAAAAAGACACAGAATATGAGATAGATGAGAGAAGAATATAGCTTACTTAATTTTTTTTTAAAAAGTCAAATGTATACAAGCTCGGTTTACGTGAGGTGTGGTTTGTTCGGGGGAATGCCTGAAAAGTGCATTTTAAAACTCTGCTCTACGCGGGGAGCAGTACCCCTCTCCTAACCCCTGGCACCAGCTGGAAAATGCTTCTTTTGCCTTTAAGTTTCCCTTTTTTTTTCACCCATGAAGTTCAATGACATTTATTACCAGTGCTGGGAAAGGGTCCCAGAGTCCCTCCTATCGTTGACAATTGGTGTGGGTCCTGTGGGACACTCTGGACGGATGTGTTGAGCAAGAGGCATGTTATGTCAAAAAATGGACATTTTTTCTAGGCTACCAGCCGGGCCGCCCGGGTCCCGGGTGGCCAGCCCATGCAAGGACCAAGGAAGGTCCCAGCAAAAAAAAAACAAAAAAAACAAATTCAAAAAATCCAAAAACCCTGACCCACTCTGGTAGCCTAGCATTTTTCATGATTTTTTAATTTTTTTGTTTGTATAATTTAGAACAATTAATCATTGCTGTTTCTTCAAGTTTTCCCTGCTCATTTTGTACTCGAGTAAGGGATGCAAAAAAGGGGACATAGGGAGAGTGAGGATAGACATCGGATCCACGTGGAATTACATAAGTCGCGACTATTTGGAAAGGTTGCACCTACAGGACCGGGTACGGCACGTTAGTAGACCAGTAGCATCTACTTTGGCCAACAAGGAGCGCATGATAGTAACAGACTACATCAAGGACGTAGTCTGTACCTTCTCCTATGGAGGAGGACTTCTTAATCATAAGATCTCATTCTTGGTTAGCGACGACTTACCATTTGACATGTTGTTAGGCATGTACTACCTCGAAGTTGCTAAAACAACCATTTCGTCAAAACGGACATATTATATTTTTTTAACGAAATCAAAACTGACTTTTTTTGCCAAAATCCGGTCGGAATTTTTTGCTCCTGGGGTCCGGCGTTCCCAGAACGCCGGACCCCTACGTGTATCATATATCCGGTCTATGGTTGAGACCAGATACTTTTTTTTTTTTTTTTTTTTTTTTTTTAAAATCTGGTCTCAACCTACGTTGCCACTTGTACACACCCTCGTACGAGTACGGATTCGTACTCTTGTACTCGTACGCCACTCGTACGTTAGGGGCCCAGTACGAGGGGTGTTGTTTTTTTTTTGAATCTGGTATTATTTTTATTTTTTTTCTCAAATTCTGTTAAGAATCTGAAGATTATGCTCAGCCAAATGTTGCTTGTTTTGTGTTTTTGCATCACATAGTTT